ATTTATGCATTCAGTTTAAAGTAAAGAACTGAGTTGCAGCATCTTTTGAGACCTATAGATAATGAGCTCCATGATGCTTTGAAAAGTCAAAATTTGTGTTCTTTTCTAAGTTGTATTGTTTATTCTCCTCTTTTCTTTCTTTGTAACCTTGCTAGGGGGTCCTGCCTCATCACTCCTTATGTATGACACGAGCCAGAACTTTTAGGTTCATGTTGCTTTTGGATTTTAATCCAGTGTAAATGCACTACTCTTGCTTTGGGGGAAATTTAATACGGTTAAATATGTGGTTAGACTGATTCCTGCAGGAAGAGATTTAGATGTTTGGTTTGAGGATGAATATCATCTGCAGATTAGTTTTAACCCCAAAAAAAAAAAAATCTGAAACACACCAGGGAGAAGTGAGTATGAGGGCTTTTTGTCTGTTACCTGTTATTCATGCCATTTCTTTTCTGGATGAGTGACAGAGATTTTTGTTTTTTCTATTTCTTTTCTTTTATGTGAAAGTAATGCCATGTACTTTTTAGCTTGTCTTTAATGACCTTTAAACAAGTTTCAAATTTGATGAAATTATGATTGTATTTTGTGGAACATTCATGGTTCTGAGGTCCTTGAGCACCTGTATATCCAAAGACCATTTAGGAATGGGGATGTGCTTTAACTGGGAACTATTTTTCCCTAATGGACAATAATCATTTTCTGATTTCTAGGTGGAAAGGTGTCAACCGCTGGTACAAGCCCTTGGATTGGGTTAGAGTTGAGCGGAAGCGCCATGACAAGGTAAAGCATGGGTGGGCATACAGTTATTAGGAATATTTTTGAAATATTCGATAAATGGGTAAAATGAGATTGCAATTCTGCATTAATTTGTATTTTGGTTTCATTTTTTAAGGATAACCCCACAGCTCTATTATGTTTACTCAGGAAAGAACGTTGGCAGAGCACAGGAAGTTGGTTGAAGGTATAATGAAACGGGACCAGAGAAGGCGGAAGAGGATTGAAGCAGCTGGTATTGATTACGAGTGCCCAGAAATTGTAAGAATATACATCCATTTGTTATCTAGTATAATGCTGCGGATCATGTTTAATGCTTTACCACAAGTAGAAGTTATGAAAATTGTTAAGAATGAGCCTTTTGTAGAAATTCTATATGGTGAAGGGTTGTTATCCTTGTGGCTTTTCGGGCACTTTTGCAAATATGAAATTTTGATGGTGTCAAGCGGCTTGAGTCTTGTACCCAAACCTGAACAAAGCTGATGTCTTGTATTGCCAAATTTCTCAACTGTATAATTTGCTTCGATTTTCTGGTCATTGAAGGTTGGTGGCAACCAGTCAGCTCCAAAGAAGATTAGATTTGACGTAGAGTAGGGCTTTGTGGAGAATGAGGTGTGCCTTTGCAAGTATATTTCATTCTTTTGATCGAAAATGAAGCCTAAGTTTGAGCTTTGAGGTAGGTTGGCTGCTGAATTTTGGCATGGTAGATGCTTATGCTGATGGGCGGAAGATGACTTCTGGCATAGGATGGCCCAAGTTGCAAAATACGGATGTGGAGTTTTATGTGTCTCTATTAAAATAAGTATTTTTTGTTTTCAACAAGAGCGTCTTGACAAATTTATGTTTCATGCTGAAGGGACTGAAGGCAGAATTTTGTAGTTCTAATTTCGTTGCTGCAAGTGATTACCCCTATGGTGATTTTGGTTGCTGAATTTGAGCACCACGATTTTGGCATAGATACATCTCTATTGACATTATTTACATCTTATTCACATACATTGATTTGCTTGCATCATCAATATATTTTTCAATCATATTTTTATTTCACATATATCATTTTAGGATTTCATTTCTTAGTAGCCTCCATCATCTCGTCTAAATTGAAGTTCCAATGTCTTCTCGTCATTTGTTGTAATATCCCCCCCTTTTTCAAAAAAAAAAAAAAAGGTTGATGAACCCTAAATTGAAATATAAAATTATTTTGATTTTAAAATAGAATATATGAATTTATAAACGATTCAAAACTTATTTTCATCTAAAATAAGAAAAAAGGCAAATGAAATTCAATAGTTGTAGGTATGGGATTTTATCGAAGTGCTTTATTTCATATGATTATTTACTTATTTAGATAAAGTGTTATTTAAAATATTATTTAACAAATTTGAGCTATCTAAATACACTCTGTTATTATTATTTTTGGGATCCAGGCTCTATTGTGACCACGAGTGGCGGCATGCCTTTGTCACACTTATTGTTGGGACGGATCATCGGCAATAATTGAAGCGTGTCATTCACGGTACATAAAACGCCACCCTAAGATCATTACTTCAGTAAATGTCCCGGCTAGAGATCAAACGCTAAACACTGCAAAAATTTCTAATTTCGGTTTGTCAAATTTATTACCGGGTCTAGCCTGAGTTAGGGGACGCCAACGAATTACCATAACATGGCTTGTCAAATCTTTCACATCTGAAACTGAAAAACGAGAAAGAAGTATCTGCCTGTTGCTGAATATGAGGTAAATTCTGTAGTGTATTCACATATTTCAAAGACAGGTGTGGAAAGTAAATTATATGGCAAAGAAACAGGCACGTGGAAAGGTAAAGAATATGTCAAAGAAACTGACATGTACGGATGATGAAAGGAATATGTTTACAAAAGCAAATGGTGACCTATAACAGGCACGGGCCGGTTTGGAAATGTTGTGTATGGCAGAAGCTGAAAATGTACTGGGGTGTCACGGAATTAACATATATATAATGGGTCTAGAAATAAAACACCGAAGAGAAAGGGTAAGCAGTACTAAACACAGCCATGCTTGGTTGTCCTGTATTTAACATAAACTGATTTTTATGAAAGTAAAAAATATATTGCCCATAACATACCTATTCTTTATAATTTTTTTTTTTTTTGCATTACATCAACAAAACACTAGCTATTTACGGGTATTTTATTCTGAATCATTACATTTATATAAAATACATAAATATTTGTAACTAAAATTGAAAAAGTGTTACACTAATATTTTTACAAAAAGGAAACTAGTAAATTTTGTATTTAACAATTTTTAAATATGTGAAAGTAAAAAGTTTTTGCCCATAACATACCAGCTCTTTATGAGTTTTTTGCATTACATCAACAAAATACTAACTATTTATGGGTATTTTACTCTGAATCATTATATTTATGTAAAATACATAAATGTTTGTAACTAAAATTGAAAAAGTATTATACTTATATTTTTACGAAAGGGAAACTGGTAGATTTTGTATTTAACAAAATTTAAATATGTGAAAGTAAAAAAGATTGCGCCCATAACATACCAGCTCTTTATGGATTTTTTGCATTACATTAACAAAATACTAGCTATTTATGGGTATTTTATTCTGAATCACTACATTTATGTAAAATAAATAAATGTTTGTAACTAAAATTGAAAAGGTGTAATACTTATATTTTTATGAAAGAGAAACTGGTAAAATTTGTATTTAACATAAATTAAATATGTTAAAACAACATTACAGGTGATTTTATTAGTTACTTAATTTGTTGGTAAGAAACAAGGTTTTTTTTTTTTTGCAAAATTTGTTCATTAGATTTTTTCAAATAATTAGGATATAAAAGTAAATTTTCACAATCTTTTATTAGCAATAGACCCCAATTTCTTCCTAAGCAATGACGAAATCAAGATTTTTTCCTTGGAGGGGGGGCCAAAATGATTGACAAATAAAATTATTTTAATATGTTATATTCAAAATAATTTTCATCTATTTAAATATATGGCATCCTAAAATATCAAATATTAACTTTAATTATAAAGGTATATCTATTTAATAAATATGTAATATAGTCATAACAAAAATTAAGACAAGAAATAACATTTGATTAAATATTTTATAGGAAAAAATGCACTTTTCATCCTCAAAGTTTCACCCCAAACATATAGCATCCTCAAAATTTCGTAATTTTGGCCAATTAAGGACAATTGACGGGAAATGAAGAATTGATCGTTAGAACCAACGATTTTACCCAACAAAAAATGGGTAAAATAGAATAGAGCCATTTTTAATGGAACAATTGCAACGGACAAAAAGCTCAATTCTTCTCCTTCTTCGCTCTGCTTTTATGCAACCCCAAAATTTTTTTGCCAATCTCTGGAGTTTTAACGACCGTTATACAACTTTCAAAACAAATAAATTCATTCTAAATTTTTATTTGGGATTATTTCATAAACCAAATTGCGGTCACTTTGTGTAAAGTATCACTTTCCCATAAAAGACCAGCTATTTATGATTTTCCTCCATTATTAGAACAGGGTACCCATTTTTTTATAACTAAATTTATTTATCGAATAAAATAAAAATAAATTTATTTTCTAATAAAAGACCAGCTCTTTATGGTTTTCCTCTATTATAAGAACAGAGTACCCATTTTCTCATAAATAAATTTATTTATCAGATAAAATATAAATAAATCTATTTTTTAATAAAAGACCAACTCTTTATGACTTTCCTCCATTATAAGAGCAGAGTACCCATTTTTTCACAAATAAATTTATTTATCGGATAAAATAAAAATAAATCCATTTTTCAATAAAAGACTGGCTCTTTATGACTTTCCTCCATTTTAAGAACAGAGCACCCATTTTTCCATAAACAAATTTATTTATCAGATAAAATAAAAATAAATCCATTTTTTCAATAAAACACCAGGTCTTTATGATTTTCCTCCATCATAAAAACAGAGTACCCATTTTGAAAGTAAAAAGGAATTTATTTATCGGATAAAATAAAAATAAACTCATTTTTCAATAAAACACCAACTCTTTATGACTTTTTTCCATTATAAGAAAAGAGTACCCATTTTGTCATGAACAAGTAACTTCTTTAATTAGAAACCATCGACCCCTTACCAAAGATGATCAAATGCAACTAAATGATTTTCTTGCAAGAAAGTTGCCAAAAGCAGCTTTGAGACTGTAGTTGCTACTTTTTTTTTTCAATCATTTTTCAACGGTACAAAGCACAATGATACTCAAAGCCAAAAGCCAAAAGCCAATATCTTTTTTCCCTAAACAGCAATTCTACAGCTAAAAGCCAAAAGAAAAATGAAAAATGTCGAGAGCTCAATTGCCAACAAAGCTCTTCTTCGCAGCAGCATGTTGGGCCAACCACAGCACTCACAAGTATTTTCCTACAGCTCGTCCTGCAAAAGGGTGGAAGTAAGAGAGTTAAAACAATTGAAATTTCTGATAACAAATCATCGTGGTTAACTCAGCACTGAAGGATCAGACAAAGCCCTTACTTTAACATTTTCCTCAGCTGCGGCAGTAACATCTTCCTTTGTTTCTGATTTGGCGTCTGCATCATCACTATCTGCTTCATCAGCAGCATCATCATCATCGCCTTCCTCAGCCTAAAAGAACAAGCTTTTCCCATTAAGAAAGTGCACATAATAAGAACATATCACAGGTAAAATTTGGAGCAAAAAGAGTCTCTTTTGAGAACAACATTTTAGTCAGGAACTTACATCAGAATCGACTGGGTCATCCTTTGCTTCCTGAAACAAAATCAGACAGGAGTTTGAGATATAAGTTGTCTCTTCATAATCAAATGATCACTGTTCAAATAATGCAGTATAAAGGAAGTCCAAAGTCCAAACTATACAGGAATGGAATTCAAATGTACTCAAGACATCATGCAACAGAGGAGAATTAATGAAAAGTACCTCTTCCTCTCTCTTCTTTTCTGCCTCATCAAAAGCAACTTTTTCAGCCTACAACATGAACATTTTCATATGTCAACAAGCAGACGAAAGTAATTTAAACCTTTTTATTTTTTGTGCATCGCTTGGGGAAAAAAAATTCCACATACATCCTTATGCTTGCCCCATGTCTCTTCAGCCAACTTCTTAGCATATTCAAGATCATCAGATACCAATACATTGTCATATAGAGTTCCAGATTTCACCTGAAGAGATACCAATATATTGTCAAATAGAGTTTTTCTTGCGATTGTTAAATTGACAAAAAATGCAAGAAAAAGGCAATTGACAAAACAGAGATGAAAATAACCAGAAGAAGAGAAAAAAAAAAAAAGAGGTACTTTAACCTGTAATGGTACATTATTCAAAGGCCAACACTCTACATTTCCCTTTAATGACTTCAACACAGCTAAGAATAATTGTTTCTTCCACTCACCAGTCAACTTCTTAAAGCTAAAACAGTTGAAAAACCTACTTCTAAGCCCATGTTGCCATTAACAAACATTACGTAAATATATTACTGTAAGTCAGATAAGGATCAGATTCAAGAACCTCTAGCTTACTAAAGCATTACCATAGTAGGACTATAAAAAATTTACCCTCACAATGCCGAGATCATAACCCCAAATCAACCATAATTAGTTATCACTTGAACATTAACATGAAGAAGAATATCAGAAGCAAGCAAATTTTCAATCCTAAATTATTTAAGAAAATTATGCATTGTCAAAGATGTCTTGCCTCATTGAATTACCCAAGCGGAGTGAAATAAAATACAAACTGGCATTATGAAGAATGTTGCAAATAAAACCTGTGAAAAATGTTACAGCTTGCCAGAAAATTGCAATTCATCAATGCAGAATGACAAGGCCATGGTTTGAATACAATACATGTTTCTACAAAGCTGTCCTCAATCTAAATATAAGTAAGATTATGAATAAAACCTGTTAGAAATGTTAATGCTCATTGGAAAATTGTAACTAGTCAACGCAGAATGAGAGGGCCATGGTTTTCATATAACAATTGTTGCTACAAACTCTCCTTAGTCGACCAATCACATGGCTGCATATGAAACCAGAAAACTATCAACTCTGTCCTCAAGGAACAGACACAAAGCACACCAATGAAGAGCAGGGATTGTCAAGAAACGAACAGGAAACCACGCCTATAAAGAGTAAGGCTCACTGACGTAAATATAGCCCAAACAAAAGTTATCCACCAAGCCAGAAACAAGGCCATTTCTTTGACCAAAGCAGAGCAAGGCAGTAGATTACATGGCAACTTGAAATCTGCCAGCAAGTTAACATCAATATGGGATAATCCAAGAAGGAGAAGTGCAATCGCAGCAGGCGCAAAGAACTGCAGAACTACAAGAAACATGTAATGGTTGTGCAAGAAAACTTTTGCCCTGCTATAATCCAAGTCAGGGACCTTACTGGCATGCAATCTCTGGTACCAACACAGTACCGCTTCATTTAAAAACATCTGCACATTTGGCCGCAAAGACAAAATTTGCAAAATACCAGAACTGAACATGCACCAAACCCTGAACTTGTAGAAATCTGATCGCAACATGCCCAATCTATCTATCAACTCCTCAGTATATTTGTTCCTACCATTGGAATGAAGCCCTTTGATTCCATCAGATTTCTCGCAGACGAGGAGTTCAGTAAATGGGCCAACCCAAAGCGTGGAAGTGAATACAACTAACAAGTAATTGCCATAAAGAAGCATTCTTCCAAACCATCCACAGGAAATTATGGACAAATTAGAACGAATCTGATCAGTTCCAAGCCAAAAGGCACGAGCATTCCTCGTAGCTGGGATGTAAAAGAGACCCACAATGCAGCCCACTAGAACAGCAATAAAGAACTTCCCAAATCCGTCCAACGATTCAAAATCAAAATCAAGACCCCAACCGGGAACCATCTCCAAAACAATCGCGAGGCCCCAGAAAAACCCAAGAACCCCAAATACCAGACTCAACAGCCTCTCTGACCTTTTAGAAGCTGATCGCTCAAATGAAAGCTTGGCAATCAAAATTAACAATCTACATACCCCAACAATTCCTAACAAAATCGGGATCACGGACCCATTTTCTAAAATAACATATTAAAAAACCTACACCATCGCTTTTCCTTGAAGTCTGCCATTGCATCGGAAGGGTCTTTAAAGTGTGTCCATGATTGTATAAATTCAGATTTGGATGCTAGAGAGGAAGAGGGAACCATATGTCTATTGGAAACTGAAAATTGATAGAGAGGGAAAGAGAGATAGAAGGGGAAAGGTGCAGGGGAGGTTGCAATTGAACTTTCGAGCGCTCTGATCTGAGAACAATATTTGGGAAAGTAGCCTTGCAAGTGTGGAAGGCTTGAAATTCATGTGGTGCTAGGCTTGACAAGTGCTGTGCCGGGAATGGTTAAAAAATTTTCAATGCGCGGCTCTACCAAAAATTGGAAGGGAGCAAAATTTTGAAATTTTCACAAAAAAGCACCCATGATTTCTCACCAATAACATAGAAACTTTGGCCCTCTAGAATCAGTATTTGGAGGGAAGCTTTCCCGCTCTCCTTTTGGCGAGAATTTTAAGCAAGAAAAGTCCTTACCCTCGCAGAGTATATGATGGCTCCAATTTCTTGTGAGGTATTGTCATTTTCCTTGCTATAAGCCTCTTAAGAGCGTCAAGCTTTCTACTTCTTCATAAAGTTGTTGTCACTAATACCCTTTTTTGTTGTAGTGAAGGGAGGAAAATCATAAAAAACTGGTGTTTTATTGAAAAATATATTTATTTTTTCATCCGATAAATAAATTTATTTATGAAAAATGGGTACTCTGTTCTTATAATAGATGAAAACTATAAAGAGCTTGTGTTTTATTGAAAAACGGGTTCATTTTTATTTTATTCGATAAATAATATTTTTTTTTAGAAAAATGGGTACCATATTTTTATAATGGAGGAAATTCATAAAGAACTGATTTTTTATTTAAAAAAGAGTTTATTTTTATTTTATTCGATAAACAAATTTGTTTATGGCAAAATGGATACTCTTTTCGTATAAGGGAGGGAAGCCATAAAGAGCTGATGTTTTATTGAGAAACGGGTTCATTTTTATTTTTTCGATAAATAAATTTTTTTTATCCGATAAATAAATTTGTTTATGGCAAAATGGGTACACGGTTCTTATAATAGAGGAAAGACATAAAAAATTAGGATTTTATTGAAAAATGGGTTTATTTTTATTTTATCTGATAAATAATTATTTAAAAAAAATAGGTACTCTGTTCTTATAATAGAGAAAAGTCATAAAGAGTTTATTTTTTTATTGAAAAATGGGTTTATTACAATTTTATTCCAGTCAATTGTGACCCATTTTCCCATTAACCTAAGTTAGACGGACTAAATTATTGAGTTTGTTAACCACAGTCAAAATTAACACAGAAGCAACTTACTCAAATTACTCAATCCTTTATGACTTATACCGAATGAATACTAGGAGGCTTATTTGAAATAACAATAAAAATATTCTATAAATGATTTAGTACATTAGTTAGTAAGTACTTGTAACATACTTGTATAATGCATGATTATATGTATAATTTGATATTCTTTTGTACTTATATATTTTAAAATATTTTGTGAAAATATTTTGACCTTTCACATAACCTTAGAAAATAATAAAATTTTATCGTATTATAAAATAATAATTTTATCTTATTATATTCATAGGTTTTAAGTTATAAAAATTGTGATATAGAAACAAGTGATATTCTACATGTAACTAGAAAGATTTGTTGTTATTGTTATCCAAACTTTCAAAATATTCAAAAATTGAAAATGATTACAAACTTACTATTCTACAATTAGTATAATTTGTTAATTAGCCAAAATTCTAGCAAAAGGCAAGCAAATGCAACTTGTAATCAATCCATTCTGATGCATGAAAAAATAAGGTAGCATTCTGCAAATAAATAAAAAAAAATCCACTTTATATGGTTCGTTGTGACAACCAGGCTTATCCCCACTTTTGTTTGAGTTTTGATTACAATGGATATAACCTATTCCCTCCAAACCCCAAATTTTGAATTATAACATTCAACCAAAACATACTCAAACTCTCAGGCTTGATCATACAAGGACAACTAGTGTGAATATCCGTGCTACGCACGGTACTTACATTATTAAAATAAATTAAAAAATTATATCATTTTAATTTGAAAAAAGTTAAAAAAATTATACCAACATAATTCAAATTTAAGATTTGTCTAACAATAGTTCAAAATATCACAAAAACTGTAAATCATTCAAGAATTGTGTTTTTGCAAAAGATGGATCTTAAAATAATAATAATAATTTACATTAGAAAATGAATGATATATGGATAGAAATAAATGTAATTTCATGTTTTTTTATTTTAAAATGAAATACTTACCAATATTATGCATTCGATTTGATAATCTTATATATATATATATATATATATGCATTATGAGAATATATATATGTATGTATATATCTGTGTGTGTGTGAATTAACTACCTTTGAATTAATTTTTTTTAAAAAAATTATTTATTTTTAATGCCTTTATAATTTGTGAATGATTGTGAGAGTAAAATATATTATGACAATAAGATACGTTGAATTGTGAAAATTATAATTTAAACAGGCTCCTAAATTTTGGATATTTGGCTTTCGTAGTTGCGAATTTCTTAAATTAACGGTTAGTTATTACTCTAAGTGATATGGTAAGTGTCAGTAATAAATGTGAGATGTGAATTGAAATTTGCAGATATCATTTTACAGGGGTGGTTATTATCCGTTAGTTAAAGTTTAGGAGTTTGAATTTTATGGGGTAGTGGAAAAAACACAAGGGAAATGTGGAAAAAAAATAAGTATGATTATAGGATTTGTAGGGCCGGTTACATGATTAGTTAAGAGATAAATATTTTTTAATTAAAAAATGTAAAATTCTATTAAAATAGCATTCAGACTTTTGATAATTTTGAAAGCTCCTTATCCAAAACCCCCTCAGCAATACATTTAGATATAGATACTAAGCGATAGTTATGATAGCGCAATAGTTTTTATCTGATATAACACGTTGTTACACTTTTAGCGATCATTTGATTTATTGTTGGACATATTCGCCTAAATAAAATAACACCTAAAATTATGGAAGTAAGTTTTCTATCTAAAATAGTAAGTTAAGTGTAATAGATTAGTAACTTTTATACCTCAAAAGGTAAATTGGAATAAATATTAAACTTAATTTTTAAATAAATAGATTACTACTTGATATCCCAAACTTACTTTTAAAAGAGTAAGTTTAGTTCAAATAACAGTAAGTTTTTATACATCAATAGTAATTCTTACTAATAACATGGCAATAAAAATGATTAAGGATCAAAATTTACCATTTTTTGGAATGCATGTACAATTTTTACATTAAAACCTTATCTCAAAGTAGTATTAGAAAGCTTATTTGAAATAATGATAAGATGTTTTTATTAATGATTAAAACTTAGTACCTTAGTTAGTAAGCACTCATAATATACCTTAGTAAGTTTAATTCAAGTAATAGTAAGTTTTTATACATAAATAGTAATTATTACTGATAACATAGCAAATTTGATTAATAATCAAGATTTATTGATTTATGGGACGCATGTACTATTTTATTTTAAAACTTATTTCAAACTAATATTAGGAAGTTTATTTGAAATAACGATAAGATGTTTTATCAATGATTAAAACTTAGTACCTTAGTTAGTAAGTACTCATAATATATTCGTATAATACATTATTATAGGTATAATTTAAAATTTGTTGTACTTATATTTTTTAAAATACTATGAAAAATAGTATGAACTAAACCAGCTCTCCAAAAAGTAAATTTCTGATATGCAGTAGTAATTTATTTTTAAAAAATTTAAGTTGCATATTTATTTCAATTTACGCTTGAACATACATCGATCGGTGCTCTTTGGATGCGTCCAAACTCCCGTGAATGTCTTTAAACTAAATTCTAATCAAAGTAGTATCCAAAATGTAATGATTCAGAGTAAAATGCTCATAAAACTTAGTACAAGGATAGCTAGTGTGAATATCCGTGCTATCCAAAATATTTATGTATTTTACATAAATATAATGATTCAGAGTAAAATGGCAATAAATAGATAGTATTTTGTTGATGTAATGCCCATAATCGGTGGCCCGGATGGCTTTGTTTAGTAATTAGTACTGCTTACACTTCTTCACAAATGTTTTATTCTTAGGCCCTTTATATTTATGTTAATTCCGTGACATCCCAACACACTTTTAGCTTCTGCAGTACGCAACATTTCCAAATCCCGGTTATAGGTCACCACTTACTTTTATAAAAATAACCCTTATTAATCCGTACATGTCAGTTTCTTTGACATATTCTTTACCTTTCCACGTGCCTGCTTCTTTGCCATATGCTTTACTTTCCACACCTCTTCTTTGATTACTAAACATACTGCAGCAACATCCATGGATGACAATTCATCAACTGTTGTTGGAGTGAAAATTGGTCCAACTGCAAAAAGGAAGTCCGCCTTTTCTCTCTCTCTCTCTCTAGCGAACGGACCCAGATTCTCCCAAAGACCGCCTGATTAAAGTCTGGGAAGTTTCTCTGCATCAAAAATGTCTGTGCTGGACCCAACCACCTTCCAAACCGTAGTCCCTTCTCGATACATCACCTTCACTTTTCCCAACCCACTCTTCCTTCCCGCTCTTCCCCATTGCAGCCATCTTCTCCACACCTCTCTCCTCCGCATCGCCGTCCTCGACTCCCCCTCCCCCATAAGCACTACCCCTCGAGTTGCGGCCATGTTAGTCCCACCCAGACGCGAACAAGACTGGACGTTCTCTACCGAAACCGGCCACCTCCAGCTCCTCCTCTCCTTTCCCTATCTTTCCCGCCTGATTTTAATCTCCAACAATGATATTAATAATCCCTCCCACCCCACCTCCTATAATGCTCCACCCTTGTCCACAACCACCGAAAACCCATCAACAACAACAACAATTGAAGAAAATCTATTGCCACTGCTACTGGCTTTGACACCCAAATCGGCCTTTGACCGGAGCAATGGCTTTCCAGAAATACCCTTCTTGAGTTACGAAGATGAGGTGATAAGTAGTCTAGTGTTAGAAATTTGTGTTGGGCCTTGTGTAGCTGAAATGCTAATAGAAAATGTTGTGCTGGAATCGGAAAGTAACAAAAATAACAAGGGTAGGGAGTTTAGAAGAAGGTTGAGGTTTAAGAGGATGCCGAATTTAATTCAAAGCCAGGTCAGGATTCATCCGATCAGTGAACTGGGTGTCGTGGGTGATGAATTGGAGGGGGTAGAGTTTACGGTGGATAATGGAGTATTGGTCCAACCTTATCTGAATCCAATGGTGGCAGGTCTGGTGGTGATTAGTTCGTATTTGGATGAGCAAATCCGATGCGGGATTAGGCCTAGAGCTCTGTGTTTGGGGGTTGGAGGAGGGGCCTTGCTCAGATTTTTGAGTGATCAATTAGGTTTTGACGTTGTGGGTGTGGAGGAAGATGAGGTTGTCTTAAGCGTCGCGAAGAAGTATTTTGGGTTGAGACATAGTGAATCGGTTCATTTATGCGTTGGTGATGGAATGGAATTGATGCAGAGGCTTGCATTAAAAGGACAAGGTGATGTTGATAGTAAGTTTGATGTGGTTATGGTTGATTTGGATTCAAGTGATGCTAGAATGGGCACTAGCGCACCGCCTTTGGATTTTGTCAGAAAGTCTGTTCTTTTGGTCGCTAAAGAAATCATCTGTCAGCGTGGTGTTCTCATTATTAATGTGATTCCTGCCAGCAAGTCATTCTATGAGAGGGTGGTTACTAAGTTTCATGAGGTTTTTGAGGAGTTACATGAAATTGACGTTGGAAATGGGGAGAATATGGTTCTTGCTGCCTCGCGGTTGTCGAAAATTAGGACAGCTCCTATTGATTTTGAGAACTCTTTCCACCAGAAGCTAGAAGCGAGTATCCAGGGATCTTATATGAATTCTGTCAGGAAAATCTAAAGGGTTTGGGTAGCTATATGATTAAGATATATCGACACTTTGTATTTAGTCATTGAGGACAGCAAGGTTCAAGAATCAATGGTGATTCTCAAGGAAATTACAAAAGGTTGCTGCTAATTTGTAGTTAAGATAGCACTTTGAAGCTTCTATCTAACTAGTCCTTCAAGATAAACCAGATTCAAGAACGACTTGGGATTCCTCATTTTCTTTACAATTCTGTGGAAGTGACGAGAGCTTCATGATTATTTCCTGCCTTGGTCGTTGTAAGTGTGGACAGGAGGTGTTTCGGTGCATTTTAATGGGTGCAGAAATGTCAAAGGAGACCGACTTCAAGGCACAGAATGTATCAATTGAATTCCATATTTGATGATAATACAACTGATTCTTTTCAGAGTGCAGTGAAGGCGCTTTCAGCTTCCAAAACTTTGCTTTATGGTAATAGAATGTTCTCCTTGGGTTTTATATTTTTCTTAAAGGGTGCATTATCTGGCATTTCAAGAGCAAACTGCTATGGTACTTTCGGAAGGAGAGGGCATGGGGAAGATAATGCATCACTGACCTTGGGAGAATGAACTGCATAGAGATATCCTTTTTGATGTGAAATAAGTTGCATACTGGCTTTTTGGTATGTAACTCGGAGTAGCATGACCCTCTATAGGACCAGTGTTATAATTTGAGTTCTCCTGTTATGCAAACGCAAAATCGCTTCCTGCATCTGCAGTATTTTTCTGTTTGCCTCGTTGGTTTCATTTTCATGTCTTTTCTGACACATTATCAATAGTTCTATTCTACCTTTATTAAGGTTAACTAAACTTGATATAGTGATCGAAACTGCAAAAGAATTAGTAGCAGCGTATCTGTATATGGTTGATTACCCTACTTTATACAACTAGTACAAGTGTACAACACATCTTAATCCACTACAGGATTGGCAATTCATTTGCAAGTTCATTCAGATCTTTTACATACGCATTGGTCTAAGTAAGAACAGGGGAACAGAAAAGGCAGTTTTTTCAACATTACATCTGCAAAATACGTTAATCAACAATCTATTATATCCACAAAAAGAAGTACAAAAGCTGAAGCGAGAAATGAAAACTTCTGGAGGAGGAGAAGGGTACAATAATAGTAGTACTAAAGGAGGGTAATGAGGATGAAGATGAGGAGGGCTGCAATGAAGGAGTACTTGAGAGCTGCCAGCAAGATTGCTATTGAAATCACAAACAGCTGCCACAGCACCTGCACGCTTGCCCAGGCTAACACCCCAGTCAATCCAACCGCCGCCACGTTATCCGGGTCTGGGTTCAACAGCAGATCAACCCATTTCAGATTCAATCCCGGCCCCCGTCCATTCCCATTCCCGTTCTCCCCATTCTCACCGCCATTATCACCATCGATTCCGTTGCTGTCAGTATTATTATCATCTTTGAGCCCTTCCTTGCTCAATGGATTGCTACTGTCTTCCCCGTTGTTACTTTTGTTGTCATCTGACGCCCGGACCAAAAGCAAGAATTTCTTGCGGAGATTAAATTGTGGGCTGTGGGATTTTAGGGGAAAGTAGTTGCGGAAATTAAAGGGAACAACAGTAGTAGAAGAAGAGGGCGTAATAAAAGATGGTTTGGAGGAGGAGAAAGTGGAGGATGGGGTTAGTGTTAGCGGGGGCAAGAAGGAGGCGAGCCCGTCAACTGATTTCATCATCTGGCTATTCTGCTCTCAGTTCCTCCTCCTCCTCCTCCTAGCCTATATCAGTTGGTTAGACAACAAAAAACAGCACCGAAACTTGTTCAATGGTCGGACAAATTGAATGAAATCGGTAGGCAGACATGCTCACGGTAAATTCTACTAATGCCAAGTGGCTGTGGCTGGCGTTGACCCTTCCCTGTTAGTAAACTAAAATTACCATTGCTGAAGCGTTAATCAAGAGAATTCTAAATGAGCAATTGAAACTCAAAAAAAAGTAAAAGATAAAATAGGCGTTAATTTTGTGCATGGATTCATGAATTTAGAGTCCTAATCACCTAGAAATGCGTCTGCAACTCAAGTTTATAATTTCCTTCTTGATTTCCTACTAATAGCCTTTCCTAAATTGCTGTATTATTTCCCTTTCATCACTTTTGTATTTGGAGACAATTAAGATATGTAGGTCAAAATATAAGTTTTCAAAATCATCTTTTCTTTTCCAAAAAAAAAAAAGAGAGAGAAAGAAAAGGAAAAGAGAAACAAAATAGTGAAAGGGTGAATTTATTAATTTAATAGTTTAACTTTGAATTTTTATTATTGACTGTTAGTTTTAATGGAAAAGTTAAAGGGTGACATTTTAACCTAAATTATGAGAAGGTTATATATGAATTTTTAAATTATAAGGAATTATGTAGTAAAGTATTAAATCACTGAGATAAAAGATAATTTCAAAATTAACAAATGTCGCTATACAACCCTCTAATTCATGTGGGAATTCTTTCTTGAACTTGAAAGTCAGACTTTCTATTTGTTTAACCATTTCTTCATCTTTTCTTTGAAACTTCCAAATCTGTATTATGCTCTACTCTAATATTTCTACACTTCTTCTATCCAAACTGCACATATATGTCCTTAATCCCTATCAATTTAAACCTCTGTCGATAATTTAAAAGTCGTGATAAGTCGTGATCTATAGTCTAAACTCCTATATTTTAAGGGTTAATTACATTTACCTCCCCTGAGATTTGATCATATTACCAATCAATCCCTGTAATTTGTCCAAATAACGGTCTTACCCTTTGAATGATCAAACATTTAACAAAACCCCCTTAATGTCGAAAATGCCCTTATTGAGGCCATGTTGCATTAAAAAAAGAACATATTTTTATTTTATTAACCCTGAAGCAATCCAAAAAAATAGAAAAAAGTTTTTGCTTATTATTTTATAAAAACCATAACTTTGCTTCCATAAATAGTTTTGAATCAATAATTATTTTAAATCTTAAAAATGAATATTAAAAATTAGATAAATTGAAAGAAAAAAAAGAAATTATTTTAATTCCTGGAGTATGGTTCAAATTGAGGAAAACATGCCTTGTGCTCTCCGCAACATGCTTTGAACCACAAATTCGAACCATACTTGAGGATTTAAAATAATTGCTTCTTTTTTATTTTTCTTTCAATTTATCTAATTTTTAGTATTCATTTTTAAGATTTAAAATAATTATTGATTCAAAACTATTTATGGAAGCAAAGATATGATTTTTATAAAATAATAAGCAAAATATTTTTTCTATTTTTTTGGATTACTTGAAGGTTAATAAATAAAAATATGTTCTTTTTTTAATGCAATATGGCCTCAAAAAGGGCATTTTCGGCATTAAGGGAGTTTTTGTTAAATAATTGATCATTCAAAGGGTGAGACCGTTATTTGGACAAATTATAGGAATTGATTGGTAATATGATCAAACCTCAGAAGTAAATATTTTAATGGGCTGAGTCTCTTCCATTTAACTTTCAAAAGACTAGTAGAATACAAGGAACATACACACACACCAAGGAAATTTCCAATAGTCACATTGACTAACATTGTTCAGAATTCAATATCTTTCTTCTGTAACGTCTATTATTACATTTTGTCTCACTTTACCTTTCTAGTAATATTTTTGTGTTTATGATGTTCTTCATCATTGAACTTCAGGTCAACTGAGTCTATGCAAGCATTAATGGATCCTGCGACTGGCCAATTGTGCTAAAATTTCCCAATGAAGTCTTGACTGCTGTAGAATAATCAACCAAGAAGAAATTGGAAAAGCCACCATGGCAGCAAGATTTCCTTTTTACTCTCAGCGAAATCATCATCTGGACAGATACCAAAAATAGTGAAAGGAGAGCTATTGATCAACCACGAGAAGCTATGCATCTTAAACTAGTTTTGGTTGCTAGTTTGTTTATGTCGTTCGTCTTCTTGCTCTGTCATCACCATTTTATAGCTTTCATGAGGAGTGCTAATCCTCCAGCAGCTGCTGTGCATTACATAAGCGATGCTGCTATTAACTGTGGCTTTAATGGCAACTCAACCGCACTTGATGGCCGTGAATGGATTGGAGATGCCCCCTTAAAGTTCCTGTCTGGCAAATCAAGAATCTCAACTGCAGCTGAAAAGCCATTCCCAATTGACCCTGTTCCGTACAAGACTTCAAGAGTCTCTGCAACTGAATTCGGCTATTCATTTGAAGTCAGTCCAGGTCAGAAATTCATTCGCCTACATCTTTACCCTGCCTCATATCGCGGTTTTGAAAATTCTATAGATTCTTTCACTGTCAAAGCTGGCCCTTTTACCCTCCTCAGGGATTTCAGTGCCTCAATTACTGCTGAAACTTCAGGTGTCAAGTACCTTATTAAGGAGTTCTGTCTGAATGTAGAAGAAAATACAAAATTGAACATAACTTTTTCTCCTTCTCTGAATCTGAATAGCAAGTCAAAAAGTACACATGCTTTTGTAAATGGCATTGAGATCATTTCAATGCCAGCTGGACTTTATTACACCTCTGATCGTGACTCAGGAGCCCCTATAGTTGGTCAGAAAAATCGATTCTTTAGTATTGACAATAGCACTGCACTTGAAGTCATACAGAGGTTGAACACTGGAGGGAGCTCTGTGTCATCGGCAGAAGATTTTGGAATGTTTCGAAGATGGAATGAGGACACTAAGTACCTGGTAGAATCCGGAGCTCATCGAGTCCATCATCCAGCACTTAGGATTAAATATACTACAAACATGCCAGCATTTGTTGCCCCGGCAAAACTTTACCAGACCTCTTGGAAAACCGGAGGAAACTTGAAAGGAGACCAGATATATAACTTTACATGGAAAATACCCGTAGAATTGGGCTTTGGATACTTAATAAGGCTTCACTTCTGTGATCTTGATGATGAAATGGCACAGCGTGAGTTAAGGGAATTCAGTCTCCTTATAAATAATCAGATAGCAGAGACAAAGGCTGATGTGATTAGATGGAGTGGCGGCCATGGGGTTCCAGTATACAGGGATTACATGGTCAAAATGAAAGGTGACCAAGGTGGTAGCAGTTGTGATCTCTTGATTGCCCTGCAATCAGCTAATGAATTAGTTTTTGGACTCCTTAATGGACTAGAGATCTTCAAGTTGAGCAACCTCGACAACAGTCTAGCAATTTCAAATCCTGCAACTCCAATGACAGTTTGTACCCCTTCAGGCGTGAAGATTAGAAACATGTTTTTAGCTTTTGGCCATAGCAATGTTGTCACGACTGGTATGACACTCCTCGTTATTTTAGTCAATGTCCTAGTGTACCACTTGACAAGAATTTGGGAAGCAAAATTTTGCCTGAAAAATGACACAGTGGCAGCCACAACTGAGCCGGCTTGTCGTTGCTTCTCACTCGCTGAGATAGTTTTGGCAACACAAAACTTTAGCGATGCATTTGTTATTGGAAGGGGGGGATTTGGCAAAGTGTATAAAGCTTACATCCCTGCCATTCAAGAAATTGTTGCCTTGAAAAGATTGCATTGGAGCTCCCGACAAGGAGCTCATGAGTTTTGGACTGAAATTGAAACACTTTCCAAGCTCCGGCACATTCATCTTGTCTCTTTGATCGGCTATTGCAATGAGAGCCAGGAGATGATCCTAGTTTATGAGTATATCCCTCGTGGCACACTTGCTGATAATCTCTACAAAATGAGCAGAAAGGGAAATGATATTGCTCCTCTTAGTTGGGAGCAAAGGCTTAGAATCTGCATTGGTGCTGCTCGTGGACTGGAATACCTCCACAATGGCACTGAATATGGAGTCATACACCGCGATGTGAAGGATTCAAACATTCTGTTGGACGAGAATTTTGTGGCAAAGATTTCCGATTTCGGACTGTCCAAACTTGAAAGGTTAACCCAATCGAAGAGCTATGTTAGCACAAAAGTTAAAGGCACTCCTGGATTTTGTGATCCAGACTATATTGCAACTCATAGATTGACGAGAAAGAGTGATGTGTATGCCTTTGGGGTTGTCTTGTTGGTAGTTTTGGCAGGGAGGCCTGCAGTGGACAATGGAACTCCAGAAGAACAGCACAATCTTGTATCATATTTCCGTGAATGTATTGCAGAAGAAAACGTGGATAGAATTGTTGATCCTAGTCTACAGGGGAAGTTCTCATCAAACAGTTTAAAAGAATTTGTGAAATCTATTGAAAACTGCTTGCACCACCAGCCCAAGAAAAGACCTACAATGGCTCAAGTGTTGGCGAGTCTCGAGCAGGCATTGCAGCAGCAGGAGAGCACTATGATTTCTGCTTCAAGCGCCAGAGTAGTTGGCCAGCCTTTCCGGGAAGGAACTCTCGAGTCACTGCAAGTACTTGAGGAGAGTGCCAAATCTCCACAGACGGACGGAATCACAAGTACATCAGCCGAACTTCTTGGCTCACCGACTAGAGGACAAGGCTATCCTCCAGCCCGAAAATTGTTATGGGGCTGGCCATGGAAAGCAGTGCTTAATAGAGGTAAGCCTATGAACAGAGAAGGTTTGGTATTACAACATAATTCTGGTTCTCACACCTTAATTGATGAACAACCAAATAAACGTAGACCTAGCTAGACATTTGATGAACAATCTAGTCCTAGCTTTCTCATTTCATGGTCTTACTATCATAGACAAGTGTTAAAACTCCATATCTATTCAGTATCCCATGTTCACATATGCATTCTTTTTGATTAGTAAATCACACATAATATGAGTTTGAAGCAACTAACCACATTCTTATACATAAACCATGATTTTGACTGATATCCTGCCTACATTCTTGATTCTTGCACATAAACCATGATTTCGACCAATGTCCATTCAATGTACTTGATTAGAACTTTGGCAAGCCGAACACAGCTCAGCATTCTTATTATGGTTAGAAGTCTTAAAGTTCCATTCAGATTTGTAGCGTAATTTTCTGCTGAAGCGTTCAGCACGTGTGCTTATATGATGTGATCTGTTGAATTTTGCATTGATAAATGTTACGGTTTGACATTTGTTATTCGTTAGTACTTTTAACTATAAAAGGTTATGCAAATCATGCACTTAACTTTTGCATTCTTGTAGAACTGGTAGTAGCATTTTTATGCTTTTAATGATATTAATGTACTAATAAGGATGGAGAAAAAAGGTGAGCTAGCTTTCAAGAACAACGATGTTAAATAAGTCAGTTGTTACTAAGCATCTCATTTAAATTCATCCTGTAATTTTGAGACGATGGCACTCACTATTAAAGGAGGGCATTCTTATGAGAACTTTAACTCACATAGATTTCGTTCATAATCAAATCAGGGAAAAAGCAAAAGGGTGAAATGTCATCATCACTTGCTGAAGTGCTGCCGCTTTACAGTTACAAGGCACTGGCTAATGCAACAGATCATTTTCATTCAGGGAATATGATAGGGCAAGGTGGTTGTGGCCGAGTCTACAAGGTACTACAAATTACTCAGGAACTGCGTGTATTGTGTACGGGAAACTGAATACCAATCATATTAAACTGTATCTGCAGGGAATTCTATCAAATGGTCAGGAGATTGCAGTGAAAAGAATTTCAAACCATCGTACTCTAGTACTCGGAGAGTTTAAGAATGTAGTTGCAGTTGCTTCTAAACTGCAACATCCAAATATTGTTAGACTGCTCGGATGCTGTGCTGAAAGAGAGGAAGAAAAAATGCTAGTTTATGAGTACATGCCAAATAAAAGCCTGGAGGCCTATTTATTTGGTGCGTTTGAAAACAAGTTTATTTATTCATTTTTTTTGTCTTTATTCTCTTTTATTCGCATAATTATTAAGTTCAGAGAATTAGTTTGAATAGGTATGGCACTATAAGTCACTGTGACTCTTTGTCAGATTCAAAAGAACAAGATGTACTTGATTGGAGCAGACGTGCAATCATCATCCAAGGGATTGGCAGAGCCCTCCTTTACCTTCACCGGGGGAACTCAGGACAGAGGATTATTCATAGAGATCTGACTGCAAGTCACGTCCTCTTAGATAATGGGCTGAATCCAAAAATATCAAATTTCAGCCTAGCCGCATATCTAGGAAGCAGTACGATTAGAGGGACACTGTAAGCAGACATTATTAATTCCTTCTCATTCAAACGCTTTTCTTGGAAAAAAAATAAATTTCTGCCTCTTTATCCTTACATGCTGTGATGCAGCCGATATTTGGCCCCAGAATATTTGGAGCAGGGAAAATTTTCTGAAAAGACAGATATCTACAGCTATGGAGTCTTGTTACTGGAGATTGTAAGCGGAAAGAAAAATTGGCGGCTTGTTGGCGAGGAATGGCATTACTTAATAGAATGTGTAAGTTTAATTGGGTTGGTTGTGAATTTTCTCTTGAAGAAGTCCAGTTCCTCTTCTATTTATTATATATCACATTCAATACTTTCACAACATTTGCAGGCCTGGAAGCTGTGGAATGAAAATAAACCAATGAATTTGGTTGATCCAGCATTGCTTGTTCCACCCACTGAAACGGAGATATTGAGATATGTACATGTTGGTTTATTGTGTGCGCAAGTCTCTCCAGGAGATAGGCCGAATGTCTCTGCTGTTCTTTCAATGCTTAATGACTATGAAATTGCAGAGCTTCCTCGGCCTAAGGTTCCGTCTTATATTACAGCACGGGGTCTATCCAGAAGCTCATCTCTCCAGAAGACTACTATTATACCGAGTTCTGATAATGATTTCAGTTTAACAGACATCGAAGGAAGATAGGGCCATGAATAATAACTTCTGGTTTCCCAGTTGTCGAACAAAATCTATCATAGATGTTTTTAATATTTTCCACATTCAAATTAAAGCAAAAGTTAGTTGACTTCCCATGGTATTCTCGATGGATATTTGTTAAGATTCTAAAAATTTTCACTTTTCCTTTTTATAGCTTCCTGCGGTTATATATATATATATATATATATATATATATATATATAAATCGGCGACTTTGAAGTCAACGACAGCCAGCCCGTGAGTCTACGATGGCACTAGCGGCTGCTCTTGTTTGGTTGATGCCTGATGGTGGTAGAGTTTCCTGTTAATTAATTAGTCTAAACCAAAGGAAAATGTAACCAAACAAGACATCCAATCCAATCCAAGACGCTGAGAATAGCAGCTAGCTTTTCCATCCACGGTTTATTCTCGGCAAAACCACCACCACCACCTGGATTGGATTGCACGGCCAATTAGTTGCCCAAGAAAAAGAAAGCGACAATTCTTGCCTGTTTCCGTCCATCAAGAAACCATCATGTATCTGAAGCCACTTCTAGTAGTCATTCTATTTTCATGCATCTTACTCCGTCCTGATCAGTCTATGGTCGCCCTTTTTAGTGCCGGAAATCCCCCAGCAGAGCCGCATTACTTGGGCGATGTTGCTGTTGACTGTGGCTCTATTGGCAACTCAACTGCACTTGATGGCCGTGAATGGATCGGAGATACAGGCTCAGAATTGATGTCTTCACTGCAACCAAAAGGCAGAACAAGGAGCTCAATTGCTGTCAACAAATTATCCTCCGTCGACGGTGTTCCGTACAGAACTTCAAGAATTTCTGCAACTCCATTCCAGTACACCTTTCGGGTCACCCCAGGTCAGATATTCTTGCGCCTGCACTTTTACCCTGCTTCTTACCGCGGTTTTGAAAAGTCTCTGGACCTTTTCACTGTAAAAGCTGGTCCTTTCACCCTCCTAAGGGACTTCAGTGCTTCACTTACTGCTGATGGTTCTGGTGAAAAATATGTTGTCAAGGAATTTTGTTTGAATGTAGAAGTAAATGCAAAATTGAACGCAACTTTCTCTCCCTCTAAGAGCAGCAAGTTAAAGAAAGTACACGCTTTCGTCAATGGAATCGAGATCATTTCCATACCGGCCGGTCTCTATTACACGTCTGATGGTGAGTTAGGTGCCCGCATGGTTGGTCTGAACAATCGGTTCTATATTATCGAAAACAGCACTGCACTTGAAGTGGTTCAAAGGTTGAATATTGGAGGGGGCTCTATCTCGCCAATAGAAGATTTTGGCATGTTTCGAAGATGGAGTGAGGATTCTAAATACTTGCAGGAATCCGGAGTTCATCGAGTCAGTCATCTGACTAACAGGATTAAGTACACAAACATGCCAGCATTTGTTGCTCCACCAAGGCTTTACCACACTGCTTGGAAAATTGGAAGAGGTATAAGAGGAAATGAGATGTACAAGTTTACATGGAAAATACCTATAGATCTGGGCTTTGGCTACTTAGTCAGGCTTCATTTCTGTGACTTCGATGCTGGTATGACAGAAAGCAGGCAAAGGGAATTCACCATCCACATAAATAATCACATAGCTGAGAATAAGGCTGACTTGATCAGATGGAGTGGCGGCACTGATATCCCAGTATACAGGGACTATTTGGTGATGGTGAAAGGAGAGAAAGAAGTCAGGAATTATGATCTCTTGATTTCCCTACAATCAGTGGATGAGTTGGTTTTTGGACTCCTTAATGGACTAGAGGTCTTCAAGTTGAGCAATCCTGACAACAGTCTTGCGACTCCAAATCCTTTATTTCCAAGACGAGCGTCCAAAATTTGGAACCTGAAGATTCCAAACTTGTTCTCAGCTTTTGGCCAGAGCAATGCTGTTTCAACAGGTATGACAATCATAATTATCTTGCTAAGCATAATACTCTATAACTTGAAGGAAAGTTGGGAACAGAGCTTCATTGAAGAGAAAAACAGTCTGTCAGCCCAAGATGAATCATCTTGTCGTCGATTTTCACTTGCTGAGATCATGGCAGTAACCCAAAACTTTAGCGATGCATTTTTTATTGGAAAGGGGGGATTTGGTAGTGTATACAAAGGATCCATTCCTGGAATTTCAAAGACTGTTGCCATAAAGAGGTTGAATCCAAATTCCAGGCAAGGGGCTCGTGAGTTTTGGGCAGAAGTTGAAACACTTTCCAAGCTCCACCACATACATCTCGTCTCTTTGATAGGCTACTGCAATGAACGCAAGGAGATGATCCTTGTATACGACTACATGTCTAGTGGCACACTTGCGGACAATCTTTATAAAGCTGCCAGAAACGGGAAGGACTGTGTTCCACTCCGTTGGGAGCAAAGGCTTAGAATCTGCATTGGTGCTGCTCGTGGACTTGACTATCTTCACACGGGCTCTGAATATGGAGTCATACACCGTGATGTCAAGGACACAAACATCCTGTTGGATGAGAATCTCGTGGCCAAGATTTCAGACTTTGGTCTATCCAAATTGGAAAAGTTTACCCAATCAAGGAGCTATGTTAGCACAAAAATAAAAGGAACTTTTGGTTACTTGGATCCAGATTATTTCATGACTCAAAATTTGACTAGAAAAACAGATGTCTATGCCTTTGGCATTGTGATGTTGGTTGCTTTAAGCGGGAGACCTGCAGTGGACTCCAGAAATCCAGAGGAACCACGGAGTTTGCTATCATGCTTCAGAGACTGCATTGCAGAAGGGGAAGTTGATAGGATTGTTGACACAAGTTTACGGGGGAAAATACCATCCAACAGCTTAAGAGAATTTGTGAAATCTGTGGAAAACTGCTTGCAGCATCAGCCCAAGAAACGACCTACAATGGCTCAAGTGGTTGCAAACCTCGAGTCTGCATTGGAGCAGCAGGATAGCACCATATTTTCATTAAGAAATTCAGCTCCTTTAGTTGGCCAGTCTTCGCAGATTGGAACTCCCGAGTCAATAAAGTTTGTCAAGAGCGAGGTGGCTCATACAGATGAGGAGCGTAATCAGAGTAAGGTAGCCCAATTGCAAGACGACATCCAGTGTCCAGTAGCCCAAATAGATGAGTTGAGTGCCATGGCTCCTCCAAATGAAGAAACCAAAAGTAAGCACAGCCAGAATCTTGCCTTTCCAGTTAGAGGAAAACCAACTTGGAGCGGGTGGCCATGGAAAGCAGCTCGGCATAGAGGGAAGGCAATGAAGACAACAGAATTAGTCTCACCAAATGATTTGGTTCCACCAAGTGATTCTGGTCCTCGCTTTTCAATTGAAGACATCCGAGCAGCCACTGACAATCTCGTTGATGGCTTTGCTATCACAAATAATGGATCATGGAAATTTTGCATTGGATTTATCCAGCAACTAAAGATGACAGTTTCCATTTACCAGTTTCATTTTGAAATATTTGGTCGGGAGGTTTTAGAACTATGCCGTGAGATTGAGAGACTATCACGATTGAGACACCCCAACTTGCTGTCTTTGATTGGGTATTGTTACCATGAAGATGAGAATAAGATATTCATCGTCTATGATCATATTGGCTCCATCAGCCTCGACAAACATCTCTATGGAACCAGAAATGTTCTTCCATGGAAGTGCAAACTCCGCATTTGCCTCGGTGTAGCACAAGGGCTAGGTCACCTGCATGGGAGTCTGGGGCAAGCTACCATCCATCACGACTTGAGGGCGGCAAACATACTCTTGGACGAGGACGGGAATCCAAAGATTTCTCTAATCGGCTTGTACAAAGTAAGCCATGTGCATCAGCTTGCTAAGCCCTCAACCAAAGTTCAAGCAACAGGCGTGGAGTATTTGTCTCCTGACTCCAAGACCACTGATTCACAATCATTTGAAAAATCTGATGTGTGCTCATTTGGTTTGTTGTTGCTGGAAGTTCTATGTTGTCGAAGACCAATAGATTCTGAGCTAGATCACGATAACGGTGACAGGTACCTTAAACATTGGGTCAAAAATAACATCAAAACCAAGAAGCTTCATCAGATTCTTGACTTCAATTCCAAAAGGGAAATTGCAGCAGCATGTTTTGCTGAATTTCTGAGGGTTGCCTTTAGCTGCTTGCTGGTCTGCGAAACTGAACGGCCACCGATGGATGATGTTATCAAGAAATTAGAGTCCGCATTGAAGTTGCAAGAGCAAGCAGAAGCTATGAAGCAAGATTTTAAGGGAAAAGGCTGTGATGATGGTTTCAATCTGGAGGATATTTACCATGATATATCAATATCAAATCTTGCGGACAATTGAAGTGTTTAAACCACCATCACCTCACTCGCGCTTGCAAATTCTAGACGAGGCAATTTCATGCAAGTTGTTAGTTGTTGATGCCTAGCTGATTGTTGTAGATTTTCCATTTTAGTGTCACAGATTACCAATTAGAGCCACGGTTCAACTATTTGGGCCGATTTTTTTTTTTTTTTTTTTTGTGATTTTTTTTTTTTTTTTTTTTTTGTGATTTGTAAACTTCAATCATACATGTGGTGTGCTATCAGCTATGTTTAAAAATAAGTTGTTTGCTAACTAAACAAAATGAAGATGTGGAGTGCTATGATACAATGGTTATTTGTCTCGAATCCAAACACAGCTTTCTTGTATTCCTTTAAAAGAAGGCTAGTAGACTTGCATAATTTGATATTATTAGTGCTACTGTTAAACAGAACTCCAATGAGCCAACTGACTTGAGATGATACTTTGCTTGGAAGGGCTCATAGTTCAATTGAACATTGACTCAGTACAAAATTAGGCACAAAAAGAAATTTCTAAAGCAGAACTTTCGCCTGACTAATCAAATCAATCAAATTCTATTCTATTTCCTTAAACCAAGTTTCTACTCTTACTTTGTCTCATCTCTATCCATATTATTATTCTAAGGGTTTACTCTAATGCCTCTCTAGTGAACACTAGTTTGGACAAATGAAACTAAGTTGCGAAAGTGTATAAATCGAATGAAACCAGTAAATGTGACTGCACACATTCAAAAAGGTAAAATTAGCTACAAAATAGGTTTTACTAACTAGTGCCTCAGCATCTGCTAGCAAAATCTTTAGATGTTGAACGTTATATATACATCTTTTGAAGCAAGGCAAGTTGCATTTTGGTATATCTACTTCTGGTCTAGATGACGCTCTATATGACCAACATAATCAAATCTAAGGTCTCCTATTATGCATTTGGAAAACAGCTGCTAGATGATTTAATATGTTTTTAAGGACTACGTTTCCGCATTTATAACATTTTTTTGATTTCCAGATGCCTGTAAGTGCTAAAGATCCCACGCTTTTGGACTTCTTGATGAAGAAATGGAGCATCTTTTCTTGCGTTTTCTGATAAACTGTCAAGAAAGACAATCAACTAACTTGATATGGTACTCAAGACCGCAAAATGGTTAGTAATATGTACTCCATTAACTGGAATGATCAAAAAGGAATCGGAAGTTGCTCTATCTGATTACTGTAGATTTGTACTTACTAATCACCATAAACTATAATCCCCGTACATTAGACAAAAAAAAACAGAAAACAAAAGATCAACTACAACATTGCAAAAGACATCTCACAATTACATCTGGCCAAACACCTTGTATGCACAAAAAAAGTATGTAGAAAGCTGAAGCAAGAAATGAAAAATCGTTGAGAAGAAGGGGTACTAGTTAGTAGTGCTAAAGGAGGGTAATGAGGATGAAGATGAGGAGGGCTGCAATGAAGGAGTACTTGAGAGCTGCCAGCAAGATTGCTATTGAAATCACAAACAGCTGCCACAGCACCTGCACGCTTGCCCAGGCCAACACCCCAGTCAATCCGACCGCCACCACGTTATCCGGGTCTGGGTTCAACAGCAGATCAACCCATTTCAGATTCAATCCCGGCCCCCGTTCGTCCCCTTCTCACCGCCATTATCACCATAGATTCCGTTGCTGTTAGTATTATTATCATCTTTGAGCCCTTCCTTGCTCAATGGATTGCTACTGTCTTCCCCGTTATTACTTTTGTTGTCATCAGACGCCCGGACCAAAAGCAAGAATTTCTTGCGGAGATTAAATTGTGGGCTGTGGGATTTTAGGGGAAAGTAGTTGCGGAAATTAAAGGGAACAACAGTAGTAGAAGAAGAGGGCATAATAAAAGATGGTTTCGAGGAGGAGAAAGTGGAGGATGGGGTTAGTGTTAGCGGGGGTAAGAAAGAGGCGAGCCCATCAACTGATTTCATCATCTGGCTATTCTGCTCTCAGTTCCTCCTCCTCCTCTTCCTCCTCCTCCTCCTCCTAGCCTATATCAGTTGGTTAGACAACAAAAAACAGCACCGAAACTTGTTCAATGGTCGGACAAATTGAATGAAATCAGTAGGCAGACATGCTCACGGTAAATTCTACTAGTGGCAAGTGGCTGTGGCTGGCGTTGTCCCTTCCCTGTTAGTAAACTAAAATTACCATTGCTGAAGCGTTAAACAAGAGAATTCTAAATGAGCAATTGAAACTCAAAAAAAAAAAAAGAAGATAAAATAGGCGTTAATTTTGTGCATGGATTCATGAATTTAGAGTCCTAATTACCTAGAAATGCATCTGCAACTCAAGTTTATAATTTCCTTCTTGATTTCCTCTTGATTTCCTAGTAATAGACTAATAGCCTTTCCTAAATTGTTGGATTATTTCCCTTTCATCTCTTTTGTATTAGGAGAAAATTAAGATTTTGTAGGTCAAAATCATCTTTTCTTTTCAAAAAAAAAAGGGAGAAAAAAAAGAAAAAAAAGACAAAAAAAAAAAAGAAACAAAGTAGTGAAAAGATGAATTTATTAATTTAATAGTTCAACTTTATATTTTTATTATCGACTGTTAGTTTTAATGAAAAAGTTAAAAGGTGACATTTTAATCCAAACTATGAGAATGTTATTTATGGGTTTTAAATCATAAAGGATTATGTAGTAAAGTACTAAATTACCGAGGATAAAGGATAATTTATCAAAAAAAATTACTAATATCTAACTAGATTATGTATGTTTTGTAATTTTTGTATTCAAAATTGACAAATGTCGTTATACAACCCTCTAATTCACGTGGGAATTCTTTCTTGGACTTGAAAGTCGACTTTCTAATTGTTTAACCACTAGTGTGAATACCCGTGCTACGCACGGTGCTTACATTATTAAAAAAAAAATTACAATCTATGGAAGAATTTAAAAATAGCAAAATATTATAATCACGGGCACATGAAAGTATATTTTAAAAAATGAAACTTTGTAACAATAGTTCAATATATGATAAAAACGTCTCAATTATTATAAACGATCATTTCGATGAAGGTTGGATCCTGAAAAAAAAAATAGAAATCTATATCATAAACTGAGCGACATATGGGTCCAATTAAATATAATTGAATATTTAATTTGATAAGTAAATGAAATACTTACAGACATTTTACCCTTGATTTGATAATCTTCTACGAAAGTGTGAACATTCCTCACACCAATCAACCTTGAGTACAAACGCCAGTATTGGGGGTTTAATTAACTCTGTTGTTTTTTGTGGAGTTCGCACTATGAATGAGAATGCACGATTTTTGCATGAATTAATGTGTTGGTTGAACAATGCACCTCCATTTTTCTGACAATGAAAAGCATACATAGTTCAAAATTATCTTTTATTTTAGACAGTTTGTAAATAATATTGTGTAAAAAAATATACATATAAACAATGTATACCTTTGTTTTTAAATCTCTAAAATAAGAAGCATCACAACGAAACATGAATCGTGCATGTCTGTCTTGAAGCGCGAGGTATGGGCTACCACTGGAATCTCTAACTTCTATGTTAACATTATATCTGTTAAGAAGAAACTGTGATGGATGATGCAACAAATTATATTAAAATTCAAAATATCTGAAAATAATTACCTGACAATAGTATCGACTACGTCATTACAATGGATACACACCATTTTTGTAAAATGAGATTGACATGGTTGGCCACAATTTTTGCATAACTCATGGAACATATTGTCTAGGTTGATACTTTGAATGTAAGCAAGTATCCGAAAATATTTAACCTAAAACCATTCAAAGAATGTATAGATTACAATTATTAATTTGAAACTACATGTAAATACCTGTTCATTACTTAATTATTTGAGAGGATGTGTACCGTGGGGATAATAGCATATTCGGATATCTATATTCTCTTAGCATTTGATATCAACAATGCTTGGGATATTGTAAAATTGTACGACCGCAACCACGTCACTAATTTCTGAGCACATTTATCATTTTCAAACCTGCATATTTTTCAAATACATATTCGCAAGGGTATGAAATATTTTTAGTAATTTAATATTTTGGTATTTGTAAAACTTACCAACTGTGTAGGTATTGAGCAAAATTCAAGTAGTAATTGATATACAATTTGCTTGCTTGAATAGTATAGAGTGACGGTCCTGCACAATATGATTTATTTATTGATAAAGTATAAAATTTGAATAAAATAAAGTGAAAATAAATTGAATTACCTTTATAATTTCTCACACAAATACCATAGACTAGCAAAACATTATTTTTTGTAACAGTTTGACGCAAGTGTTCACCATCATCAGTTGCAAATTTATCACACAAAGTCAACCGAACTACTGTCAAACTTCATTTAGATAATTTTGATAAGTATTTTATCAAAATTTGTAGAATATAAAATATTTAAAAAGGCCGTTGATTTAAAAGGAAAAGGCGTCTAATTAAAGGATCACCATTTCGCAGCCTCTAATTAAGCAACCTGGCGACAAAAAATACACAAGAATTTTACGTATTTCAACAGTCGCAAACTATAAAATGTCCCAAGCGTTCAATTCTAAATATTCTCGATGGACTTGTAGTCCACTGAAGCAGGAGGTGCACTTGTAGAAAATTACATTGCCCCTACAAAAATCACGCCTCATAAGGTTATCTACTTCCCTTTTCCCCTTACCCATTCTACCCCTTGTACTGAATCCTATCCTCCAAAAGGTTTGAGTTGTGCTGGTCAAGAACGGGAGAGGTAAAAAAAAAAAACATTTGTCCAAAATTTGAGCTTAGAAAGATACTCCATCCACCGCTCAATCAGTCTCAAAAGCATCTCACCAGCCTCTTCGCACATGAGATAATTGAAACGTTGCACAAAGATTATAAGAAGCCATAAATTGCATTCACAGACGATTATAATAGTGAATGAGCAAACCATACCACAAAAACTGATGTGATTCTGAGTTCATTTTTGGCACTAAAACAGAATCTTCGTGATTCCCACCACCTACTTTCTAGTCCCCTAAAAGTCTCACCCCTTGGTACACTGCACCAGGACGGAGGTCATCTATATTGCTAAAGCATCTATAGCCATCGATCTTAGGTGCCATTGTCCATAACATTCTTAGGTGCCATTGTCCCATATGTTTTTGCAAGATTTATTTTTTGAATCTATTCCCCTTTTTTTTTTTGCTATTTCTCTCAAGCGTCAACATTTATGTCTTGCACGATTCCAACTTTTTCACCGCAAAATTACAGCATAATCCTAATTTGAACAGCCCAAGGACATGTAATGCAGTAAGACACAAAATCTGCCAAAAAAAAAAACCCAAAACACAAAAAACGAACCTACCCGCTAGTAGTAATCTCTTAATGTCAACATTCTGAACATCTTATTTCAAAGTAACGAAGAAACTCCACAGATCACAACTCATAATTAATAGTAGTATTATTTTTCGTGATCAAAATTGATGGTACTACAATATGTTACCATATTAAGAGTTTGGGGTAAAGACTACGTAAGTCACATCATGAGCACAACTCATGATATGATCAGGTTTTCAATATTAAAAGAATATCAATATTAAAAGAATAAATAGTACCGAAACTTCTAATTTGATTGGCGCGGTGTTTGAGTCGGTGTAGTCGAGATTTTATCCATCGTAGTTGATGTGAGATTTCTCTTTCGTCGACGCAAAGTTGTTGGAACTGTTCCAATTCTTGTGCGGGACCGTGGTGGCGTCCTTTTCGTTTCATTAACAGATGTTTCCTCCTTTGCAATCTTGCGAGTTTGAAATTCAGGCGTTGATGACATGCCTGTAAACGGTCATGTTCCATTATGAAGCTAATTTGAGAGGTTCGAGAAGGAAGTTGATTGGAAGGGTTTTAATTGAAGTGGAAATGTGGGTGTGGAGTGAAATTGTAAGAGTAATTCCCAAAAGTAGTACCAAGTATATTCCGTGGCAGTTGGGAAGAGATCAGGTGCAATCCTCAATTCCGTTGGATCAGGGGCCAAGTACCAACTATATTGTAAGTGGGAAGAGTTTTAATGTAAGTGGAAGTTATTTTTTCGTTTGAGGGAACGTGAGAGTGTTAGAGTTTTAATATAAGTGGAAGTTACATTTTTGTTTGAGAGAACGTGGGAGTTTTAGTTGGAATTAACTTCTTATTTGAGGGAAACGTGGGAATGTAATGGGCCCATGATATTTTTTACGAAATAAGATAAATGTAAAATGCTAGGAAAATAGAGTTGAGAGTGGGAAGGGTTGTGGAGGCTTGTTCCTGAAAATCCCTTCTCAAATTTATATAGATATAGATTTCTTCTTCTTTTCTTTGAAACTTCCAAATCTGTATTATGGTCTTCTCTAATATTTCTACACTTATTCCATCCAAACTGCACATACGCATCCCCAGTAGAATAATAAACTCCTTTATTTTGATGGGCTGAATCTCGCCATTTAACGTTCAAATGACCAGTAGAATACAAGGAACAAACACACACACACCAAGGAAATTTCCAGTAGTTATACCAAATATGTTTTACCTTGATTCACATTGACTAACTGTTCACTTGTTCAGAATTCAATATCTTTCTTCTGTAATGTCTATTATTACATTTTGTCTCACTTCACCTTTCTAGTAATATTTTTGTGTTTATGATGTTCTTCATCATTGACCTTCAGGTCAACTGAGTCTCTCCAAGCATTAATGGATCCTGCGACTGGCCAATTGTGCTAAAATTTCCCAATGAAGTCTTGACTGCTGTAGAATAATCAACCAAGAAGAAATTGGAAAAGCCACCATGGCAGCAAGATTTCCTTTTTACTCTCAGCGAAATCATCATCTGGACAGATACCAAAAATAGTGAAAGGAGAGCTATTGATCAACCACGAGAAGCTATGCATCTTAAACTAGTTTTGGTTGCTAGTTTGTTTATGTCGTTCGTCTTCTTG